CGCAGGGCTGTTGTGAGGATAAAACAGAGAGTAGGAGAATGATGTAAGCTGATTTGGGTCTGCACTGAGGAGAAAGACAGAGTATCGATGAAATAAATAAATAAATGGTGATGTTTTAGTTCAGGGGTGTCAAACTCATTTGTTATGAGGGCCGAATCTGAGACCTTGTTGGGCCGGGCCATGTGTGTCATAAGATGTAATGCCAGACAGCAGAGATATAAACTTGATAAAGGACACAAACCTGTTTTTTTTTAACTTAAAATAAAAACATGTTTAAAACATTAGCACTCTTGCAATATTTTGTTTTCAGGGGCTGTGGTAGCTCAAGTGGTTAAGATGCTAAACTGCAGACCGGAAGGTCGGTAGTTCAGCAGTTCGAGACCTGAGTGTGCCGCATGACGGACTGAGCTCCCATCTCTGGCCCCAGCTCCTGCCAACCTAGCAGTTCGAAAGCAAGAAATTGCAAGTAGATAAATAGGTACCACTTCGGTGGGAAGGTAACAGCGTTCCATGCCCCTCGGCGTATAGTCATGCCGGCCACGTGGCCACGGAAACATCTTCAGACAGCGCTGGCTCTTCGGCTTGGAAACGGAGATGAGCACCGCATCCCTAGAGTTGGATTCGACTGGCTTTCAAGCAAGGGAAACCTTTACCTTTACTAATGTTTTGTTTATTTAACAGTGTCTGATAACTGACACCTCTCGTTCTAAATGATGGCATCAGAATATCGGTGCTGTTGCAGTCCTGAGTATGCTGTTCAGGTGTGTATCTGTAAGCTGCAAACCGACGATGACGCAGCAGCAGCAGAACTGGAAGCAGCAGAAGACAGTCAGTTCCACTGCGGGCCTGAGGCCCCTGGGCTGCATGTTTGACACCCCTGTTTTAGTTAGAAAGGAATTGTGCTACTCTTGTTCGGAGGGTTTGTTTTCCTTATGGATCAACACGGCTGGCGTATACCGAATATAGCAGGACTTACATCGGAATAAGCGTACACCGGATTGGTTTCTGGGTCACTCACCAGCACTAGCTCTCAAAAACCGAACCATCAAGCCACCAGGGTAGACACTGATCTTTCCCATAAAATGAGCATCGATGGTACTATGTAAACATTTATTAGAACAAGGTGGTTTACAACAATTCTTTTGAAATGCCAGTTAGAACCAGGATAAAATAACAAACCCCAAATCCTTTCCTCACAATTAATCTTTATTATCCTTACCATTCTTAGTTCGATTTTGGGTAGATCGTGGTTTGCCAGCTCCTGGTTGGGATATACCAGGAGGTTTTGGGGGGTGGAGCCTGAAGAAGGCGGGGCTTGGAAGGGGAGGGACTCCGGTGGGGGATAGTGCCACAGACTCCACCTTGCAAAGCACCCACCGTCTCCAGATCAACTGATCTCCGTTGCCTGGAGACTAGTTGTAACCCCAGGCGGTCTCCAGCCACCCCCTGGAGATTGGGAACACTAATCACAAACCTCCTCTCTTTCTTTTAACATGAATCAACAGCGGATCCCTATTTCGCCCCGTTCCTTACATTCCCCGTCCTGCAAACCAAATCCCCGAACACCGTCCCTTGAAAATAATCCTATTTTCAGACTCCAGCTCTGTGGTTCTTCACCTTTTGGTGTAGTGGTTAAGTGCGCAGACTCTAATCTGGGAGAACCGGGTTTGATTCCCCACTCCTCCACTCGCACCTGGCTGGATGACCTTGGGCAAGCCGAAGTTCTGACAAGAGCTGTCCTTGAAAAAGAGCAGTTTCTGTCAAGAGCTCTCTCAGCCCCACCGACCTCACAGGGTGCCTGTTGTGGGGAGGGGAAGGGAACGGAGTTTGTAAGCCGCTCTGAGACATCTTTGAGTAGTGAAGGGCGGGGTATAAATCCAATCTCTCCCTCTTCTTCTTTTACCTCACAGGGTGTCTGTTGTGGGGAGGGGAAGGGAACGGAGTTTGTAAGCCGCTCTGAGACATCTTTGAGTAGTGAAGGGCGGGGTATAAATCCAATCTCTCCCTCTTCTTCTTTTACCTCACAGGGTGTCTGTTGTGGGGAGGGGAAGGGAACGGAGTTTGTAAGCCGCTCTGAGACATCTTTGAGTAGTGAAGGGCGGGGTATAAATCCAATCTCTCCCTCTTCTTCTTTTACCTCACAGGGTGTCTGTTGTAGGGAGGGGAAGGGAAAGGCGTTTGTAAGCCGCCCTGAGACTCCTTCGGGTAGTGAAGGGCAGGGAATAAATTCAATCTCTTCTCTTCTTCTTTTTTGGGGTCACAGACCCCTTTGAGAACCTGAGGAAAGCTACCGGCCCCCCCACCGCAGAAAAAATGTCAGAGCGAGGCGATGGCGATGACTGTACATTACCTGAACATGTTCAGTAGCATCTCATTATTAATTATTATTATTATTCGCCCTATCATCATCATTACTATTATTATTCCGCCTATCCCTACTACTACTTCTTCTCCTTCTCCTCCTCCCCCCATTCCCAACTTGTGCCAGGCTCTGGGCAATATACGGTATGGCATAAGCCTTAGGAACAATATACAAATACTAAATATAGTAAAATGACTCCTACATGCTCTCCTGCACTTTTTTGCAGTGTGAAACATTACAGTACTAACATAATTAAGGCTGCGGTCACACACACGAAGTAATCCACTTTCAGTGCACCTTCCAAGTGGATTTTACTGTGTGAACTGGTAAAATCCAGTTGGAAAGTGCATTAAAAGTAGATTATTTATGTGTGTGTGACCACAGCCTAAGAATGTTTCTCAGAAAGACAATTTTCAAAGTAACAGGAAGGGGGGGGGGGAGAGAAAATATTTTTTGTGCCTGGGTCAAGGACCCCGCCCCCAAGCCCATCCGTGGACCCCCTAAGGGTCCATAGACCCCAGGTTAAAAAGTAGGGTCGCCAGGTCCACCTTGGACACCAGCGAGGGATGGGAAGGTGAAGGTTACCAAATCCAAGCTGGGAAACTCCTGGAGATTTGGGGATGGAGCCCGGGGGAGAGCAAGGAACTCGGCGGGGGTCCAACGCCACAGAGCCCACCCTCCGAAGCATCCCCTTTTCTCCAGGGGAACCGTTCCTTCCAGACTGGAGAGGAGCTGTAATTCCGGGGGATCCCCAGGTCCCACCGGGAGGCTGGCAACGCCCGCCCGAACTCTTCCTCTTCTTCGTCCTCCGCAGCTTCCCCAGACTACAGGAATTACAGAGAGGGGGAGAGAAGGGGGGGGGAGAGAAAAAACAACAACCCAGCTCTCAGAAACCCGATGCCTTTTTTTGCGCAATACAATCACTTTTTTTCCCCCCTCTGAAATAAAAAAGCGACAGGGTGTCTAGACGCCCACGTGATAAGGCGCGGGGAAGGAAGGAGGGAGGCGGGGAGGTTGCCTGGGCAGGGCCGCGCCGCTGCGCAGTCTGGAAGCCGCCGAGGCGACGGGATAGGAGGAGGGCGAAGGCGGGGGAAGCGGGGGGAGGAGGAGGAGGAGGAGGAGGAGACGGAGCCGGAGGTTGGCTGGGGCAGGCCGGCTGGGGCTGGAGCAGGAGGGTTGGGAGGCGAGAGCGCCGCGCCAGCCAGCCAGCCAGACCCCCGCAGCAGGCAGCAGCAGAGGCACCGGGGCGCCGCTTGGCGAGCTTTGCCCTCCTTGCACGGCGGCGGTCGGTGCAACCGGCGAGGCTCCGTCCGTCCCCCCCCTTCTCTCGGGAGGGAGCAAGAGCTGCAAGGCGGAGGGGAGCGAGGAGGCGGCCCGGCGAGGAAGGAGAGGAGAGCGGTGCAGAGCAGAGCAGAGCGCGCCCTCCGGAGCGCACCGCCGCGCCTGCTGCTGCTGCTGCGGCTTCGGCTGCCCTGGCCGAGGAAGAAGGGAGCGGAAAAGCGGCGGCGGCGGCGAGAGCCAAGGCAGAGCCGAGCCAGGGCGAGTGGAGGAGGAGGAGCAGAAGAGGAGGCGGCAGGGCGGGCGGCCGCCGCTGCAAGTGCTCGTCTCCCTCCCTCTCCGCCGCGTTGCGCGTCTGGAGAGAGGCGATGCCCGAGCTGGAAGGAGGAGCGGGAGGAGGCAGGAGCAGAGGCCGGCCGGGCGCCCGCTGAAGGAGCAGCGCCGGAGGAGGAGGAGGAAAGGCAGAGGGAGAGACAGACACACACACAAAGCCGGCCCGGAGAGGAGCTCAGCAGCGCCCGGCCAGGGCAGGAGCCGTCCCCCGCCGCCTCTCCCGGCCTCTTCTTTCGCCCGGCGCGCTCTCTCTCTCTTTTTTTTAATTTTCCCACCCCCCCTCCTTTCTCTCCTGCAAGGGGAGAGGGGGGAAAAAGTGGGTGGAGAGATTGCAAAGGGGGGCGGGAGGAGAACTTTTGCATTGGGAAAAAAAAGAACGGGGAAGCAAGGGGGGGGGGGGGGAGAGAAGAAGAAGACAGATATCAAAGGAAAGCGACGCGAGGCCCGTCCGGGAAGAACTGAAGATCAAAGCGTTTGGGGGGGAAGGGGGGGGCAAGCGGGGCGGAGAAGCGACTCTCGGTGTTTCGCGTGGCTCGCCGGAGAAGAAAAGGGGATCTTTGGATACCTTTTTTTTTATTTACTGTGGATTTTCGTTGCCCGCCCCCCAGCCTCGATTTCTGTCTCCGCCCCCCCCATAGGTCGCCCCCTTTTTTTGGCTTGCTTCCCGTTCCCCAGTGAGGTGGAGCCCCATCGCATCCCCCCCTCCCGTCCCTTTCTGCACCTTTCCTTTTGGTTGGATTTAACACCTACTTCTGAGCACTTCAAGCCCGTGTGTGCCTTCGCGGCAGAGAAGGAGGGGGGCGCCGCGTGAAGAAGCCGAGGGGGGGAAAGAACCCACAAAGGTCGGAAGAAATTCCTCGGTGACAATTTTTGGTATTTATTAAGAAGGGGGGAGGGAAAAGGCCCCCAGCCCCCTAATCACCTTCCAGTCAAAGTTTGGTTCTTCGGAAGCTCGACGGGTGGTTTTGTTCTTCCCGGGGGGGGGGCATCCTTTGCAAATCCTAACACCCCCTTTTAAAAAGAAGAATCGTCGCACTTGCCTCTCCCCACCACCACCTCTTTAAAGAAACTGTTCAGGATTTTCTTATTTTTCCTCTCTGTGGATTTAGAAGGATTTCTGTTTTGGGGAGAGGCGCGCGAGCGAGCGAGCGCCAGGAGGGTAGGATTAGAACTCAAGCCTCGCACGAGACTGGCGTATGCTTCAACTGGCTCTGGCGGGTGTACCACCCAAAGGAGCCGCCGCCGCCGCAGCCCCGCGGCCGCCCCCCGCCTCCCTCCTCTGCTCCCACTTCTTCCCCATCATTTCAGGCTGCTTATCCTGGCTGCCTGGACTCGGCTCCCGGATTCTTCATGAGTGGCGGACGGCATGCCCGTTTTTTAGCCGGGGAACCTTCTTCTCGTCCCGCATGTTCAGGACCAAACGCTCGGGGCTCGTCCGAAGACTCTGGAGGAGCCGTGCGCCCGGCGGGGAAGAAGGGGGCGGCGGCGGCGACCTGGGCGAAGGCGCAGCGGACAGCCGGGCGCATGGGGCCGGCGGCGGCGGCGGCGGGAGCCGGGGCTGCTGCATGGGCAAGTCCGGCAAGCTGGCCAAGGCGCACCTCGGCTCGGAGGCGGAATTGAAGGCGCTGACCCACTCGGTGCTCAAGCGGCTGAAGGAGAAGCACCTGGAGGGCCTCCTGCAAGCCGTGGAGACGAAGGGCGCCGCCCGCACCGCCTGCCTCCTGCTGCCCAGCAAAGTGGACTCCAAGCTGGGCCCCCACTGGTACTCCCTCCCGCTGCTCCTCTGCAAGGTCTTTCGCTGGCCCGACCTCAGGCACTGCTCGGAAGTCAAGCGCCTCTCCTGCTGTGAATCCTATGGGAAGACGCACCCGGACCTGGTCTGCTGTAACCCCTACCACCTCAGCAGGCTCTGTGAACTCGGTAAGCGCTTTTGGAAAGTTGACCCCCCCCTTCTTCTCCACCCACCCCCGGCATGCATCGTGCAAAAAAAAAAAAATCTAGTGAATAACACGTGTGTGCAGAGTTGTCTGAACAGACGCGCGAGTCAGGCCTTCCCGCTTTGGGAAGGACTTCTCTGCTCGCCTTGGCGCGCTTACAAGTTGGAGAGTTTTTCTCTTCTGCGGCTCGCTCGGGTCTTAAAGGGATCCTTAAATCTTGTCGGTTTCTCAGGGTGTTACTTGTGTCAAACTTTCCTCTCTTTTCCCCCTTTTCCTATCCCAGGAAAGCCATAGAGGCCGGGGGGGGGGGGGGGTGTCTTTGGGCAGCGGCTCCGGTATATGTCTGCGTGCTTCGGGGGGGGGGGAATTCCCAGGGAGCGTTTTAATTTTAGCTTGCAAAGGAGCCCGAGGGGAGTTTTTGCGCAGCGTTGGACGGCCCTTCGCTTTGCCAAACAACAACAACAAAAATCTTGTCTAGTTCTGTGTGTGTATTTATGCTAAAGGCAGAACTGGAGGAGGTAATGCAACACCCGATTTAAATGTTGACAGGGCCGGGTCATTAATAACTTTTAGGAATAAAAAATCAGGTTATTGCCAGGATCTCCCAATAAGAGTTCCTCAAAGCGATTAAAGGGTGTTTTGGCTCTTGTAGAGTTAGAATTATGCAAAGAAGGCCTCTCCGTATGGAGTGTTTGGAGGAGAGCAGATCCGGATTGGTTTTGCAAAAAAAATAAAATAACAAATCACCTCCGGATCTTCTCCGTGGTTGTTTAATCTACAAATGTCCACCCAGCCCGAAGGGTTTTTTTTTGCAAAGGCAAAAGAGCGATCCCGCACTTGGGGCTGGCTCGCACCAATCCCCCCCCCCCTTCAAGTTCTTCGCCGCAGCTATAATGTAAAAAAGAGAGAGAGAACACATAATTTCCAGGCACCAACATGCCACCCTTTTCCTCTCCTTCTCCGGGCAAGTTGCCCTTTTTGGGTTTCCAAACTGGGAAGAGTCGAGGGGGCGGCGGGGAGGGGGGAGAGCGAACGGGAGAGACCGAGAAATCATCGTCTGCGCGAAAGTGTTTTTTTTTAAACAGTTCAAAGGGTGTATGTTTTTTTTGTTAAGGTAACTCCTTTGGTATGTTTCGAAGTTCGAACCCCTCCCCCGCGCCTAACCAGCTCCTTAACAAAATCTGCAATTTTATATGCTTGTTACGGGGGTGTTCGCTGCGAGCTAATTTGCAAGATTTGGGGGGAGGGGGGGTTAAAAAAACACCGCCTCCTGCCCCCCCCCCCCCCCCCGCCCCGGTCGCAGAAGCTGTTGTCGCACTCCTTTTCCAAAACGCTGCAAACTTGGTGGCGAAAAAGAAAACCTGTTCGGGGCAAGATTGTTAAGAGTTTGGGGGTGGGGAGGTTTAAAAGGAGGGGGGGGCAAGGGAGAAATGTGATTCTGAGCTGTTTTGCCTGCAAAAAAAAAAAGCCCACAAAACCCCCTTCCTCCCCGCCGCCCCCCCCCCTTCCCCGGGCTCTCTGTGAAATGTTAAGTGTGCATGCAAGCCTGCCTTGCTGGGGATTATCAGGGAGCCGGGATCAGTGGGTGATTTCCAGAGCTCGCCGCGTTTCCAGCCCAGCCAAGGAGGCCCCGTTGGAGACAGCCAGAGGAACAGATAGGACGAGAGCCTGGCGCCAGCCGGCCCCTTTTGTTTATCTGACAGTTGAATATCAAGGCGAATCGCCGCCTAGCCGCCCTGCCTCCAACCCCCAGAGCCAAAGACAAACTGTATTGCTACAAGAATGCCTCTGTTATCATAAGTTCCTATCTTTTCTCTCTCTCTCTCTCTCTCCCCCTTCCTTCTTTTTTTCCCCCTCCCCCCCCTCTCTCTCCCCTTCCTTCCTTCTCATGGCCCTGCATTTATGTTCTCGGTTCTTTTCTAATTGCAGAGTCCCCCCCTCCTCCTTACACCAGATACCCGATGGATTTTCTCAAACCAACTGGTAAGTGGAGATTTTCGGTTGTTGTTTGGAAACAAAACTTGAAACCTTGTGGGAGGGGGGGGATGGAGGGGGAAAGAGAGGCAGAGCTTTTGCAGGGAGCGCGCGCGCACACACGCACACCCTTTGCACATTTCTTTTTTTAAAAAAAATGTGTTCCTTCACTTTTATCTTTTCTGGATCTTGGAAACCAAACTGGCCCCCACCGGTTTATTTGGGGCTTGTGTTTGCACAGCGCTCCTAGACAGAGGATTGTGAGCAAGCCCCATTAAGATAAGTGGGGATTTACTCCCGAAGAGTCAGTGTGGACTGGGGGATTGTTCGACCCCCGTTTTGTTCTTCGGAAACCCTCCACACTTTGCAAGATAACCCGCAGAAATCCTCTCTCACTTGAAAGCTGCTCAGGTCAGTTGTGGTTTTAACCTTGTTTGCAGGATCCGTTTCCCAGACTTGGGAAACGAGGGCTTCCTCGCCAGCAGTTGGCTCTCGGGGAGCGTGTTTACTCGGGAGTAAGCCCAGCTCAGTTCAGTGAGGGGCGTCCCAGCCTCTAATGTTTCTTAAAAGAAAACCCCAGGTCTCATTTCTTTGAAGAAGTGGGTGGTGACAGGTCACCCAGACAGTTTACCTGTGTTATTGGCAGCAGAAGGAACATTGAGAAATTAGGATTTCTTTATTTTTTAAAAAAAGGATGGATAATAGCATGGGTAAATTTCATATCAGGTGGGTGTCTTGGAGTGTTTCCATTTGTGTGTGTGCGTGTGTATTGTATCCATCCTGTAACTTGGCATCAACCCTGTGTGTGTATGAATATATGAAGGGGGCAAACTGACATTCTTAGCTCTTTTTAAAAAAGGATGGATAATAGCATGGGTAAATTTCATATCAGGTGGGTGTCTTGGAGTGTTTCCATTTGTGTATGTGCGTGTGTATTGTATCCATCCTGTAACTTGGCATCAACTCTGTGTGTGTATGAATATATGAAGGGGGCAAACTGACATTCTTAGCTCGGGCTTCTCCCTGCGTGCTTGTTGCTTGTAATTGGGTGGCATTTTGCCAGGGCCCATTCTGAGCCTGGCACCAGGCACTGTTGCGGTTGTCTGCATAAACTTTTTTTGGCTGGCAGCGGGCTCACCCTGTGCTAGATAAATAGCGCTTGCATTGTGGAAAAGAGAGAGTGAGTGTGAGAGAGTGCTCCTCACCAGAGATCACAGAGGGAGAGAGAGGGTTTGGGGTGTTTATCGGAAACGTGGACGTGGACGGAATCCTCCGGGAGGGGAATAAAATCCCACAAAGCCACTCCGTGCCTCTCTCTGAAAGATTAATGGACTGAGAGGCAGATTTGCAGAGCAGTGGTCCTTCATTGATTACATCCTGATGGTGAAGCTGTAAGTTAGTGTCGGTTAAAAATAGATTTCCTTTGGAAAGGCCCAAGTTCAGGCAATGGTGGCTAGCGTCTCCCTCCCCTCATTGGAAAGTTATGGATCTGGTCAGCTCATAAAGTTTGAGATCATCATTTTGAGTCCCAGCTGGTCTGAAAGGTTAACAGTTTCTCTGGGCGCAAAAGTTTACCCTGGCTTTGAAAAAAAGAACGTAGGTGTCTTCTCGGACTGGAAGCTCCTCGTGGGCAAGGAAATGTGTGCTTTGCGAAGTTTAATAACCAAAAAGATGGCAGTGCCCACCGGTGTATTGCTTGTTATTACAGTGGAATTGGGGTTCAGGTGTGGGGCCCCCCCCATGCTAATGATGCTTGTTTCTTCTCCTAATTATATGTCCTCTGGCTTGTTATCCTGCTGGTCTTGTCTTTTAAAATGGGTCCTTCCCTCCCAGGAGGACTTGTGAGCAATACAGATGTATGGTCTGGGCAAGGAGGTTAAACGTTGTGCTAAGCAAAGTAGGTTGCAAGGGGTGGAACAGGCTTTTGCTCTAGACGAGTCTGCTTCATTAAAAAAGGAATATTCACCTCCGTCGCCTGCCCTGCCTTCTGGCGGAGTTTTTATTGGTTGCTGCAGCAGTGACTTCTGAGTTTTCCCCGACATTCCTTCGGTTTCAGATGTGGGTCTGCCGTAGTCCAGCTAGATTTGAGTCCCGTGGCACTTTGGAGACCCATAAAATTTCTCAGTCTTTAAGCTTTGGAGAGCGAGAGAGAGAGCTCCAGCATTCTGACACCGTCTGGTGTGACCAGGGAACAGGTGCCAGGGCAGGGTTAGGAGCCTTGACAGCTAAGGTTGGACGGGAACAGTGAAGGAGGGACCCTTTGGGATGGAGACGTTGGTCGGCCCAGCGCTTTCAGAAAGGGTTCTCCCAGACCCCCCCTCCCTTACGCATGGTGACAGAACTTCAGCTACTTGCTTCTTTATTGAGCTGTTGGGTTCCCAATCGACATTGAACCTGACAGACGGGAAGCATCACCTCGTTGTCTCTCAGCCTCAGTTTCCCACCTGTAAACTGGGCGTGCACATGCCATTTCACAATTCAACTGTGCACTCCATGGTGGTTAGAAGCAGTGTTCCCTCTAAGCTGAGTTAGTGTGAGTCAGCTCACAGCTCTTTAGCCTCCGGCTCACACATTTTTGTCTTCGCTCAGGAAGGACGGCTCCAGAGCAGACTAGCTTATGCAGTAGCTGAAATCGCTGGCTCACAACTCTAATGGCAGTAGCTCACAAAGCAGAATTTCTGCTCACAAGACTCCACAGTTTAGAGGGAGCATTGGTTATAAGTAACGTGGTACAGAAGAAAAACTGGACACTTCCTTTTGCAACCCTTGGATTCTTAGGTTGCAGTTGGACCTTACTGGGAAAGAACTTCCTACTGAATTCAGTGGGGCTTGCTTCCAAGAAAAGGGGGGTTAGGATCAGGGTGTTTTGATTTTTATATTAATTTTTTTTGGGGGGGGGGAATGTTTTATTCGTTTGCCCGTTGCCAGTTTGCTGCCTCAGTGGCGCAGAAGGGGAGGCAAACTTGGGGAGGAGCGGTGAATAGCTGGCAGCGGCAGAGGTGTCGCAGAGAATGGTTAAGGGGGCTGCCACCGGCTTCCGGAAAAGATGCTCGGATAAATCTATTAGCAGAGTTTAAACATCCAGCTGGCCGTTGCCAGGGGCTCATTCTCAGTTTGTGGAGTGATATATTTATTCATTAGTAAGTGTTGACATAAGGTAGCAAAAACTGTGTGTAAACAGAAAAGCCACAGGGCTTAAAAGGTGCCATTTTGAAAGGGTGGGGGGGGAGTCCTCTGTATTAGCCAATGGGAAGTGATTAATGGGACCGGTCGGAAATCTAAAAGAAAAACAGCCAGGTTACTCACCCCCAGCCCCCCCCTCCCAAGTCCATTTGGCAGTGAAACTTTGAATGTTACAGCACATAGAGAGACAAAAATACCTCATAAGTCTGTCATTGCAGGTGCTTGACTTCTCTTATAACTTCCTCTTTCCCGAAGGCCATTGTAATGGAGGGAAGAGGGAGAGAATTCAGTTAATATTGCGGTGACCTTTTAATTTTCTCACATTCCGAAATCTTGGAGGGTGTTGTTGTATA